GCCTGGGCTCCCCAACATCACAACAGAGTGCGTGCCAGCTCTGCTACCCCCCAGCCAGGAGTGTGTGCCCATCAGCACCAAGCATGTGACTCTGGTGAGCCCCACAATGCTGGGTGCCACCCCCATGTGTATGTGTGTGGGAGCTGAACTCAAGTGGGTCACCTGCTCTGGTCATCAGCCACAACAAACAAAGGGTGGGAAGGAGCATCAAAGAACCAGTGGAAGCCAGATGGTGGGAAGGAGGGCTTCCCTGAGGAGGGGCTTGGAGACGGTTGGGGTACATGGGGGCCCTCAGCCCCTGGCACTCTGGCTTAGTTGCCACCTGATTCTAAGATGGTGCTTCTCAGTGCTACTGATCTCCACCGCCTATGGATTTGACATGCATGACCCTGTCCCTTCACACAGGGTGGGGTTGTGGTCACGCTGGGTCTGCATGTGAGAGAAATTCCTCCAGAGAAAGGTTGACAGTGAGAGATGGGGTGCCATGTGTAGGCTGGTCCCTCAGCCCTGTGTGGGCAGGGTGGCTTACCTGTCTCCTCAGCCATTCCCCTGCACTGCATCCGCACAAGGCCCCCCAACTCCTCCCCTCCCCTCCCCTTCCCTCCCCTCTCCTCCCCTCCCCCCTCCCCTCCCCCCTCCCCTCCCCTCCCCCCCCACCTCCCCTTCCCTCCCATCCCCTCCCCTCCCCCCTCCCCACCTCCCCTTCCCTCCCCTCCCCTCCCCTCCCCCCTCCCCACCTCCCCTTCCCTCCCCTCCCCTCCCCTCCCCTCCCCCCCCTCCCCTCCCCTCCCCCTCTCCCCACCTCCCCTCCCCCTCCCCCTCTCCCCACCTCCCCTCCCCCTCCCCTCCCCTCCCCTCCCCTCCCTTCTCCTCTCTTCCTCTTTCTCTCTCGTTCGACTTGAGAATGGACACACTTGACACTCTCTTATGTTATAACCTCTTTCTCTGGTAGGAAAAGCAGGAAATGTTGGCACCATTCTTGGTTTCCCCAGGCCCTTTGCTTGCGCACTGTGTCCTGGCCCACTTTAGGACTACTGTGTTTTTTGGTTTTGGTGCAATTGAATAACAGGGTGTAGTGAGTCTTGTGCTGCTTAGCTTCAAGTTTCCATGAGTGTCCCCATCTTTCACTCCTCCCCACTTTTCCTCCCGTTGTTTGTATGATTTGGGACCACACAGGGTGATGTTTAGGTGTTGTTGCCCTGGCGCTGTCCAGGGCACCCTCCAGTGCTGTGGATGTTTGGGATTCTGTGTGCGAGATTCACCTGCCCAGCCCCCAGGCTGTCACTTGGCCTAGGGAGGCAGACACCTCATCCTATTGGCAGATAGGAGTGGGGAGCCAGGGCCCCTGGGAATCCAGGGGGCAGGTCCTGCGGTCTGCCTGAGCCAGCCTACCCAGCTTTGTTTTTCATGGTTCATGAAAATGTCTTCCCTAAAATATCTTTCTGTCCCCCCAAACCATTTTGAGACACAGGAGATGAAAAATGTCATGCCCTTCACATTCCTCGATGACAGATGATAAATCTCATTGTCCTGAAACATACCTTCCTTGAGCATGTGATGTTCTCAACTGTCTTCCCCACACTGTCCTTGCTGCCCCCAGGTGCTGCTTGTGCACCCATGTGGCCAAGCACATGTGGCGCCCACACACGTGTGTTGCCCGTATCTCCTCTCTCTTGGGATCACGACGATCACGATCACGACCATCCTGTTGTTCGTCGATTGCCTCGAGCAGGCCCCAGTAACGTCTCCTTCGTCCTAGCCCTGAGATTTTTTAAAAAATGCCATATTCAAGGCTCTTTCAGGGTTAGGAGAATGAGACCCATCATTGTTACTGGTATTTGGCATATTGGGTATGCCACGGGGAGTTTGCCAGATTCTGCTGTGTGGGCAAGTTACAATCGGTAGCCTGCCAGTTTGTCCAAAGTAGGAATGAGATAATAAGCTTCCAGGAGCTGGGTTTTATAGACTCTGAGTCTTGGCCGTTGATGGGATTACATGGCGCCAGGGTGCCAGTTGGTGGGTGTGACCCCTGCCTACTGGAATTTGGAGGATCTGGGTGGAGGATGCTCAGCCCCAATCCGAGCAGGCTTGGAGATCTCAGCCCCGGGACCCGCGTGCCTTTGTTCCTCTGCTGGTACATTCATGTGTGTGAAGAGTGGTCTCAGCATGGTGGTGGCTGGTTCTGGAGGTCTTCGGCTGCTGGAACCCTGGTCAGGGCGGGGAGGGAAACTCAACCCGCCCACCTTAAGGGGCCCCGGTGAGGACAGCCAGGAGACTCTCTTGGGATGTGTACTTTTATGCTTTCCCATCTAATGCTGGATGTGTTTCCATGGAGAAACCTATGGAGAAGCCCTTGGAGAAGCCTATGTTCTCTCTTGAGAGCGTTACACACACTCTCTCTCTCTCTCTCTCTCTCTCTCTCTCTCTCTCTCTCTCTCTCTCTCTCTCTCCACACCTTCAAAAACCCTCCAAATAAAATCTGTTTTACTTAAAAAACAAAAAACAGTGCCTCAGCTGTGTGTGGACCTTAGTTCTGGCAGCCGAAACAGTCACTCTAAAACATGTCCACATCCCATCTCCTTCCATGCCTGCCTGATGTGTGGGGGCTAGAGTCAGAATTGGAGGACTCTGAAACTCCCCCAATGCTGCAGTGCTGGTTTGCTCTTGTGAGCACAAAAGAGGGAGTTGCCCACCCCTTGCGAGAGGGACCCATCCAGAGCTCTCTGGTGGAAAGGTCGGGGTGACACAGGGTCAGACAAGGGTTCCGCAGTGTGAACCTTTTAGGGCATCTATCCAGGGCCCCTTCCTGCCTTCTGTGCAGGGAGTGAAGCCTGGGGACTTATAACGTGGGGACGCCTCTAACAGCCCATTAGAATCTTCTTTCATCTGGATGGTGCTGGCGGGGAGAGGAGGTGGTCAGTTGGACCTCTAATCTGTGCTCACACAGCCCCCATGATTTCCCAGGTCCGGGGGAGCCTCCCCACACTTGTTCTTCCCTGCCTCCCCACAGCCCACAGCCCGGCCCTCTGCTCCCACAGGCACTGAGACACTGGCAGTCCCTTTGCCCTGATGCTGGAGTCCTGACCTTCTCGCCCGCCCCCCACGGGAAATGCAAGGCCTCTCCCCGCAGGGACAGATGGCACCACAGTGCTCATGGGCTCCTCCTTCCAACCTCGAGGTCCCGCGGCTCCGCCCCTAGGGTACTCCTCACCCAAGCCCTGGTGCCCGCTGGCTCCTGTTGCAGGCTCCTAGGCCGCAGGTGTCCTCCCTGCCTGGGGTCTCCTCCTCCCTCACCGGACCATACCAGACTCACAAATTGTCCTCTGTCCTCTTGTCTATCTGTTGGTCTCTGTCTCTTCCATCCACATGCAAGCTTTGCTCTTGTCCTGCCCCAGAGACTAGTTCAAGCCTGCCTGGGGTTGGCATCTGCCCGCCTGGCTGACATGGGGAGCCCTGGGAAGTCAAGATGGGACCTGGAGGCCTCCCCATGAGCATCCTGCTTCTCAGAGCCCACTTCCTGGGTCCTCTCCTGGGCTACCTTCTCCTTTTGCTGGTCCCCTCCTAGGTCTCTCCTCTCCTTCCTGCCCCCCACCCCCACCCGTCTCTCCCCTCCTTCCTGACCCCCTCCTGGTTCTCTCCCCTCCTTCCTGGCCCCCTCCTAGGTTTCCCCTCTCTTGGCCCCCTCCTGGGTCTCCTTCCTCCTCCCTAGACACCTCCTGGGTCCCCTTTTCCTTCCTGGACCCCGTCCTGACTCTCCCCACCTTATGACCCCCTCCCCACCCCCCACTTTTCCTCCACATAGGGCTTCCTCTCGCTCAGGTTTGGTGGTGTCCTGGACTATCTGTTTTGGGGTATGGAGGCTGCTCCTGATTAGGGGCAGGAGAGGGATCCTGTGACAACCAGGAAGCTGCTGTGGGTCCCTACAGGACTGTACCCTGAGGTCCATTGGTTTTCTTAGGGGTCTCCCCATGAGAGGGGCTGGCATGGTGGTGGCTTTCCCCTGGGTGTTCGCATAACACTGACCCCAGCGCCTGGCCTCTGGGCTCTTCCCTGTGTGTCTGGAACACAGACTCCTTGTCTGCGGTGGAGGCGGTAAATTGGCAGCGCCCATTGGTGCAGGATTTGCCAAGCCCCCTCCACACTGCCCCTCCTCTGTAGAAGACACCCCACATCTGTGGGTGTGGTGTCCTGCATGGAACCATACAACCTGTTTGGAAGTGTCTGTTCTGAAAGTCCGAAGGGTCTCAGTACTGGCCATGCTAGCACAGTTGGGCTTTATAGGGCTGGACATGGGGACTGGGACCTTCTTTGTGTCTGGTGGGAGGAGGAGAGGACACACACACACACACACACACACACACACACACACAGAGAGAGACAGACAGACAGACAGACAGACAGAGAGACAGAGACAGAGACAGAGGCAGAGGCAGAGACAGGCAGAGATGTGGGGAGGAAGAGAGAGAGGGAGGGAAAGAAGCAGAGAGAGAGGGAGAGAGAGAGAGAGAAAGAGAGAGACAGACAGACAGACAGAGAGACAGAGACAGAGGCAGAGGCAGAGACAGACAGAGATGGGGGAGGAAGAGAGAGAGGGAGGGAAAGAAGCAGAGAGAGAGGGAGAGAGAGACAGACACAGAGAGAGGGAGAGAGAGACAGAAACACAGAGAGAGGGGGAGAGAGAGAGAGAGAAAGAGAGAGAGACAGACAGACAGACAGACAGAGAGACAGAGACAGAGGCAGAGGCAGAGACAGACAGAGATGGGGGGAGGAAGAGAGAGAGGGAGGGAAAGAAGCAGAGAGAGAGGGAGAGAGAGACAGACACAGAGAGAGGGAGAGAGAGACAGAGACACAGAGAGAGGGAGAGAGAGAGAGAGGAGGGCCCCTGTAAGTTACTGAGTGCCTGCCCAGCAGGGAAGTGGCCTGCCTGTGGCCTGCACACTGTCACTCGCTATCACTGGGCTCTGGAATTCCCGTCACTGTTTATTCCTTCCTTCATTTAGGAGTCAGTGTCCTGTGAGGGCTCATTATGAAGCGGGATCTAGCTCTAATTGGCCTGGCCTTCCTGTCACTGCTCCCATCTGGACATCCTCAGCAGACGCCAGAGGACGCCTGCTCCGTGCAGATTCTCGTCCCAGGCCTCAAAGGTAAGCACCCACCAGGCCTCCCAAGCAGTGTGGCAGGCTGGAGCCCACATGTGACTGGCATAGGGCATCCCCAGGCACTTTCTGGTGCCAGCTTAGGACCTATGGATGATTGACTTTAATTACCTGGGGCAAATCTGCTACCTTTTTTGGGTCTTCAGTTTCCCCATATGTAAAATTAAGGATTGCTTTATGTGATTTTTTTTTTTTGGCTTTTTGGGTCACACCAGCAATGCTTAAAGGTTATTCCTTGCTCTGCACTCAGGAATCACTCCTGGCGGTCCTCGGGGGACCATATGGGATGCCGGGGATTGAACCCAGGTCAGCCACATGCAGAGCAAATGCCCTACCCATTGTACTACTGTTCTGGCTCCACGTGATTTTTTTTAAAAACCATTTTTACTGAGGTACTGAGATTTGAAGTACTGTAAATTATATGTTTCATGCATCCATCGTTCCAACATAACACCAACCATCAGAACATGTGCTTCCTTCCACCCATGTCCTAAGGACCCTTCCAGCCACCTCCTTCATGTAAACTCAGTTCTATAGACAAAATATGTGGTTCTGATGATTGTGAACACTTGTTATTCCTTTACTATGTTTCTTTTTTATCCTTCATGTGAGAGAGATCTTTTTTAAAAAATTATTGTGGAGGTAGTGTCACCTATACATATAGATGAATAGAGCTAAACTCCTGAAATTCTACAAAATCCTAACATCAATGATAAGTTGATAAAATACATTTTTTCAAGAACTGTCTATCTTTTTTTTCAAGAATATACATTAAAATGAATATTTAATTAATTAAAATATTTAATTAAAATAATTCTATGCTATAAAGTTTACATAAAATAGGGGCTGGAGAGATAGTACAGCAGGTAGAGCACTTGCCTTGCACGTGGCCACCATAGTTCAATTCTCGGCATCCCATATAGTCCCCTGAGAAATCCTCAGGAATGATTCCTGAGTGCAGATGCAGGAGTAATTCCTGAACATTTCCAGGTGTTCTTCCAAAAAAAAACCATTTACATAAAACAGATAAATCCTACAAATATAAAATTTAGTAAGAGTAAAGAGCCAGAGAATGATATATGTATATATATTTTAATTTTTATTAGTGAGACACCATGAGGTACAGTTGTAGACTTACAAATTTTTGTGCTTGGGTTTCAATTATATAATGATCAAATCCCCATCCCTCTACCAGTGCCCATTTCCCACCACCATGGATCCCAGTATCCCTCCCACCCCCCATCCCCCCACATCCCACCCTGCCTCTGTGGCGGGGCATTCCCTTTTATTCTCTCTCTCCTTTTGGGTGTTGTGGTTTGCAAAAGAGGCATTGAGTGGCAATTGAGAATGATGTTTTTAAGAAAATCACAATCTTTGGGGCCAGAGAGACAGTTCCAAGGGATGGAACTGTGTGTATTGTGTATTGTGTACACACATATTTTGTGTACACAAGAGGTGTGGGTTAGATCCCTGGCATCAATATTAGGATATTGAGTCACAAATAGTGATATTTGGGTCAAACATATTTGAGTCACAAATATTGAGTCACATTGAGTATGGTCTAAAAACCCAATGAAGCCAAACCAAAACTAAACCAACAAAGTAAGCCTTCACTCTCAAGAAAATCACCAGTTTCTATGGAGCATGGGGAGGTTTTAAAAACCTTGTAATCCCCAGAGACAGATCCATGCTTGGTTCAAATGGAAATGGGATCCTTATTCAAAAGTTAGAAAGAATTTTGGGGGGACTCTTTAGAGGGGCTCAGGTGATTCTCAGCTGAATTGGGCTAGTGGTTGGGCTGGTGGTTCAGGATTGGGATTCAGGGGTCAGAGGGAACCCTCAATGCAGCTCAGGTTCTGAGGTTCTTGGGGCACCTCTGGGACTACACATGACAATGTTTGGAGGATTATATCGTGTTAGGAATTGGACTTGGGTCAAGCACACGCTAGGTAAGTACTGTAACTGCCATGCTATCTTCTAGCCCCTGGCAAGAATCTGGAGATGGGAACTGCATGCAGCCAAGCCACAGAGTCAGCTGGGGCTGGATGCTACTAAGTGCAAGAAGATATGGACATAAGAAGTCTCAGATGCCCTCTCATGCCTCCCAGTTCTATAGCACCTTTCCTCTCCTCATTTGGACTCCATGAGTCATGGACTCCTCGAACCCCTCAGCCTTGGTTCTGCCAAACAGGCCTTAAAGAGAGGTTGTAGACTCTAATAGACTGTGGAGAAAAGCAAACTCAGGGGTCAGAGACATTATATAGTGGGTGAGACACTTGCCTTACATGTGGCCAACCTGGCATTGATCTCTGGCTCTACATGTGATTCCCTGAGTCCAGCCAGAGTGATACTGAAAACAGAGCCAGGAGTAAACCCTGAGCACCAGTTTTCCTCTCCCTACCTGCCTTTTCTTTCTCTCTCTCTCTCTCTCTCTCTCTCTCTCTCTCTCTCTCTCTCTCTCTCTCTCTATTTCTCTGAAAGGAGATTTTTAAGGGACACATAGGGAAGTACATTTACAGGGCCAGAGAGATAGCTCAACATGCTGACAGATATGTTGTATGCTGAGGGCCCAGGTTTCATCCCGCAGGGACATAATTCCCTAAGTACTGTCTGGTACCCTGCACTGCCAGGAGTTACCCCTGAGCAAAGAGCCATGAGTTTCCCCTGAGCATTGCAGGATGTGGCCTAAGCTAGTAAACACACAGATTAAGGTATGTTTATAGTTACAACAGAAAGTCAGTATAAGTCAGTATAAAGCAAGATCAAGTTGTAAATAAACCCTTCAGAATTCCACTTAAAATATGCAGTACAATAAAAAAGAGAAAAAAACCTTAAAGAAAAAGACTGAGCTGTCAATCGTTATGCTACGGCTGACTATGGATTTGTCAGATTCTGAAAGAGTTCATAGGGGGATCAGCGAGGGGGTGTTCCCAAACAGTGCTCAGAGGCTGGGGCAACTCCCAGTGACGCTAGGCCTGACTTCTGAGCTAATGACCCAGTGCCCAGCTCTGGCAATGAAGTGATTCTGGGCTAAGACCTGTGCAGTAGTAGGTATCCAATACCCTGGGAGCTCTCTCCCGCGCCTTCAGGGATACCTTGAGGGCACTTCTGATCCAGTTTTGGAATCTGCATTGGTCATGATTTCTGCACAATCCAGTGAAAAGTCTGAGCTGGCCCAGTGTGCAGGGCAGAGACATGTGTTATCTCTCCGGTCCTCGGCAGGCACACCCAGGGACCCTGCGTCTCCTCTTGTCAATGACTTCTCCATGCTCATGCCGTAAATGAGTCGGTGAACTGCTACCAAAACTGCCAGGCAAATGCTTCATCTAAAAGACTGTGGGCCTAATGGTGTTCTTAGTCATCCCCATGTCCTTCAACTTCAAGGATAAAGGTTCCTCAGAGAGTTGTGCCATGAGTTTGACATGGATCCTGCTCTCCTGGGGCAGAGGAGAACTCTGCTGAGTGATGCTGATGCTCTGTGCCATGTCTGGGGCTGCGAGTATGATGCAGACTCAAGTTGCTGTTTCATGAGACAGACTCAAGTCCATTAAAACCGAAGGGAGGAGCTGGAGCAATAGCACAGTGGGTAGGGTGTTTGCCTTGCACGCGGCCGACTCGGGTTCGATTCCCAGCATCCCATGTGGTCCCCCAAGCACTGCCAGGAGTGATTCCTGAGTGCAGAGCCAGGAGTAACCCTTGAGCATCGCTGGGTGTGACCCAAAAAGCAAAAATAAATAAATAAATAAATAAAAATAAAACCAAAGGAATACATTTGGTAGGTAGGGAAATTTATGAAGTGTTTTCTTTTATTTTCTTAATTTTTGAGGTCCACCTAGCCATGATCAGGGCTTACTGCTGATTTTCTGCATGAGGGTCACTCCTGGAACTTTTCAGGGGACCATATGTGTGCTGTAGACTGAACTGAGACCAGTCACATGCCAGGAAGGAGCTTTTTCCAGTGTGCTCTCTCCAACCTCCATGAGTTTATGAAAGCCTTAAAAGTCTGGCTTTTTGTTGTTCTCAGGCCACACCCAGTGGTACTCAGGGCTACACTCCAGGCTCTGTGCCTAGAGATCACTCCTGGCGGTACTGGGGGGACCATATATGGGATGCCAGGGATAGAACCTGGGTCAACTGCTTTTTAGGCAAAAAAGTACTGACTGACCCTGTACTGACCCTGCAGCCGTCAGAGTGTCTTGATCTTTTATTTCTAGATTCTTGAGGTATGAATGAGAAATGAAAGCCTATGTATTTGAGGCATGCATTGTGGTGACTGAATCGAGGGCATGCAGGCATGGTGCCCTCAGTCGCGTTAGCACTCCTCCCAGCCTGCAGAGCCCCCTTTCTGTGTTTGTGGCCAGAACTGGATATTGCCCTGGGACAGCCCCATGATAGGAGAATGCTGGTGAGAAATAGTGCCCCTGTAAACAGGGACTGCCTTGATGTTTAAATTGACTGTAGGGGAAAGGGTAAGGAAGGGATTCTATGGGATTTCTAAGCAACCGAAGTTCAGGACCATGCAGTTGTTTTTGATTTGCTTATTTATTTATTTACTTATTATGGCCACACTTGGTAGTGCTTAAGGGCTACTCCTGGTTAAATGCCTGAGAGTAACTTTTGGCACATTCAGGGGACAGTATAATTCCAGGGATCAAATCTGGGCCTTCTACATGTAAAGCTTTCTGCTTGAATTTTTATATATGTTCATTGAACATATAATAACATACCCATAGTCCCCTGAGCACTGCTAGGAGTGATCCCTGAGTATCATTGTGTATGACTCAAAAGCCAAAAGAAGAAAGAACAAGGTGCCCCCAAAACTGCTGGATGTGGCAAAAATACAAAACAAAACACAACGGTTACCTGACATTCACAGGGGATGGAGACATAGTACAATGGGTAGGGCACTTGTCTTACATGCAGTTGACCTGGATTTGATCCCTGACACCCCAGATGGTCCCTGAGCATAAAAGGAGTAATTCCTGAGT